ATGTCCTTAAGATCAACTGTGTTTGTCCAAGTTCTACGCAGGTAGCGTATGATTTCCTTATTTCCTAAGGGTGCATAACATTCCATTGCATGTACATACAACATTTTCTTTATCCATTCAGTTTCCAGTGGACATGTGGGTTGCTTCCGCCCAAGCTTCCACCCATGTTGAGGAATGCTGCTATAAACACGTGTACGAATGTCTTTGCGACCCTGCTTTCAATGCTTTTGGGTATATATCTGAAGTAGAATTGCTGCATTATATGGTAATTCCGTTTTTAATTTTTAAAGGAACTCCTGCTATTTTATGCAGCAGCTGCACCATTTTGCGTTCCCACCAAAAGTGTATACAAGGATTCTAATTCCTGCACATCTTCACCAACATTTGTTTTGATAGTAGCCATCCTAGTGGGTGTGAATTGGTATCTCAATGTGGCTTTCATTTGTATTCTGGGATCTTAGTTGACAACTGCAGAAGTCTCTTCAACTTGTTTAAGCAGAAAGGGATTTATTCAAGGATATTAAATAGCTTGAGGCATCTCCAGAAGGGTCAGAAAGCCAGATGTGGAGCCTACACAGTTAGAAACAATAACAAAACTGTTCTGCAGGACTGCCTCAGCCAGACTTTAGAGCTGCCACTGCTGCTGCTGGCACTACACTTGGCTCTGCTAATGATGGATGCCATACACATGACTCTGCATCATTCCTACCCACAAAGGCCAGACTCCTCTCCACCATCCATGCGAGAAAAATGGTTCAGGACAGCACCTGCTTCCTTGTGCTGCTCTGTTTCAGACTGAGACTTGTGTGAGTAAGTCTGGTTGGAGGAGCCTGCACCCTAGCTGCTAGGTGCTGGGAAAGGGAGTTGAGCTTCTTTGGAGACACGCGAGTCACAAGGTGGGAAATTACTCTAGTATTGGAAGGGTTTTCAAAGACAAACACAAAGCATGAGAAGTATCTGCTGTATTTTTCTATTCTACTTGTAAATAGGGATAATTATAGTTGCCTTACTGACTCAGTTTGAAGATGAGATGAGATCTCTCATGCAAAATGTTTAACACAGTGCCTGGCCCAGAGCAGGTGCCAATAATGTTGTTTTTCTCTTTTCTCTCAATAAAATGTAAGCATCACTTCCTGATGTGACTTAAGGCTATTAGTGTAGGCAGCTGTATAATACAATTTTAGGAACCTCAAGGAAGCTCTATGACCCCCCTAATACTCTAACATAAAATTCCATGTCATTATTGTAGCTTAAGTTCTGATCTTTAGAAGTTGCAAAGCCACAATTCACAATTCAAGATGAAATTTGGTTGGGGATACAGCCAAACCATATCAAGGTTGTGAAATACTGGAGGAGATTTGCGAACTGGACTTTAAGGAATTTAAATGGACATTGTTATTCACTGTGGGTTTTCAGAAACCATGAACTGAGAAGTAATTATGGACTTGAAAGCTTGACACAGAGTCAGTGCTTTATGTAGATCACTTACATGTCAAATGGCCAGGATGCCCTGGCACCCTGACAGGTGCTCCATGATCAACAGACATCTCTGGATTCTCTTATGTCTTTTAGTTATTGTGAGATAATCATGGTGAGGTAACTAGTCCAGGCAGACTTAGCTTTAAGAAACATGACCAGGATAAAGTCATATACCTAAAATCAAATGTCACATTTACAGTGTGCTAAATCTTACACTTAGCAAAATTACTGAGGAAAGAATATGTGGTTGAATATCATGATGATTTAATGAACCATTTCACTCAAATGCGGTGAGTGGTTTTGCTTTTTTTAAGCTTCACTGAGGGGTTGTTTATAGTACACAGGACATCTGGTGCTTATAGCAGTCCAGCATCCATTTGAAGGGAGCATTTATCTGATAACCAATTAAGTTGAATACATTTTCACATATTTATTGATTACTTGGATGCTGTCTTTTGTGGAATGCCTGCTCGAAATCTTTTGCTCCTTTTTCTACTGGGTTGTCTGCCTTTTTCTTATTGATTGTAGTTCTTTATGTCTTCTGGGAGATCTTTTGTGGCTATATGTAATACAAGTCTCTTTTTCCATTCTGTGGCTTGTCTTCATTTTTATAAAATGAAGATTTTCTCTACTCATCTTGAGTAGAGAATCTTAATTTTAATGATGTCTGTTCTACCAACTTTTTTTTTTCAAGATACAGTCTCATTCTTGTTGCCCAGGCTGGAATGCAGTGGCGTGATCTTGGCTCACTGCAACCTCCGCCTCCCAGGTTCAAGCAATTCTCCTGCCTCAGCCTTCTGCGTAGCTGGGATTACGGGTGCCCACCGCCACGCCTGCCTAATTTTTGTAGTTTTTAGTAGAGATGGGGTTTCACCATGTTGGCCAGGCTGGTCTCGAACTCCTGACCTCAAGTGATCCGCCCACCTCAGCCTCCTACAAGTGTTGGGATTACAGGTGTGAGCCGCCATACCAACATTTTTATAGTCAAAACTTAATGTTTTGTTCAAAAAAATTTTTGCAGATCTCAAGTTCATGAAGATACTTTCTTTTAAAAATGCTATAGTTGGTATCTCAATGTGGTTTTCATTTGCATTTCTCTAATGACCAGTGATGAGCTTTTTTTTTATGTCTGTTGGCTGCATAAATGTATTCTTTTGAGAACTGTCTCTTCCTATCCTTTGCCCACTTTTTGATGGGGTTTTTTTTTTCTTGTAAATTTAAGTTCTTTGCAGATTCTGGATATTAGCCCTTTGTCAAATGGATAGACTGCAAAAATTTTCTCCCATTCTGTAGGTTACCTGTTCACTCTGATGATAGTTTCTTTTGATGTGCAGAAGCTCTTTAATTAGATCCCATTTGTCAGTTTTGGCTTTTGTTGCCATTGCCCTTGGTGTTTCAGTCATGAAGTCCTTGCCTATGCCTATGTCCTGAATGGTATTGCCTAGGTTTTCTCCTAGGGTTTTTATGGTTTTAGGTCTTACGTTTAAGTCTTTAATCCATCTTCAGTTAATTTTTGTATAAGGTGTAAGGAAGGGATCCACTTTCAGCTTTCTGCATATGGCTAGCCAGTTTTCCCAATACCATTTATTAAATAGGGAATTCTTTCCTCATCTCACACCAGTTAGAATGGCGATTATTAAAAAGTCAGGAAACAACAGATGCTGGAGAGGATATGGAAAAATAGGAACACTTTTACACTGTTGGTGGGAGTGTAAATTAGTTCAATCATTGTGGAAGTCAGTGTGGCAATTCCTCAAGGATCTAGAACCAGAAATACCATTTGACCCAGCAATCCCATTACTGAATATATACCCAAAGGATTATAAATCATTCTACTATAAAGACTTATGAATGTGACACTATTCACAATAGCAGTGACTTGGAACCAACCCAAATGCCCATCAATGATAGACCGGATAAAGAAAATGTGGCAGATATACACCGTGGAATACTATGCAGCCATAAAAAGGATAAGTTCTTGTCCTTTGCAGGGACATGGATGAAGCTGGAGACCATCATTCTCAGCAAACTAACACAAGAACAGAAAACCAAACACCACATGTTCTCACTCATAAGAGGGAGTTGAACAATGAGAACACATGGACACAGGGAGGGGAACATCACACACGAGGGCCTGTCAGGGGGAAGGTGGGGTAGGGGAGGGATAGCATTAGGAAAATACCTAATGTAGATGATGGTTTGATGGGTGCAGCAAACCACCATGGCACATGTATACCTATGTAACAATCCTGCACTTGTTCTGCACAAGTACCCTAGAACTTAAAGTATAATAAAAAAGAAGTGCTTTAGTTTTATATTTGAGATTATTTCCAATCCATCTGGTATTTACTTTTGTGTGAGGGAGCAGTCAAAATTCATTTGATTTTTCCATTATTGTTTTCAATAAATTTTCAGTATAATTTACTGAAAAGGCTATCTTTTCTTTCACTCCACTGCAGTGTACCTTAGTCACCCATGAAGTAATGAAATGTGGGTCTGTTTCTGGACTCTTGACTGTATTGCATTTGTCTTGTGCCAATGTCATACTCTCTTAACTGTTATAGTAGCTTTATAATAACTCCTGAAATCTGGTAGCCTAAGACTTCTAAGTTTGTTTTTCTTCTTCAAGATTGTCTTGACTACTCCTGGTCCTTTGCATTTTATATAATTTTAGAATCAACTTGTCAACTTCCACAAAATATCTGTTGGGACTGCACAGACATCGTTACAATACCAAAGCTTCTAATTCATTAATATGGCATACTCTGCCATTTATTTTGGTCTACTTTCTTTCAGTATGTTTTGCAGTTTCAGTGTAGAGATCTTGCATCTTTCATTTTATTGTTATTTGATAGGTTTCTACACTGTAAATGGTATTCTTTTAAAGTTGCATTTTGTTTATTACCGGTATATATGGTTTTAAATTTTGATGGTGCATCCAGCTGCTTTTCCAAATTTACTTAATTGCTAACAGTTTATTTGCAAATAATGGCATTTTTATTCCTTTCCAAACCTTTGATCTTTTATCTTTTTCTTAAGTTTTTGTTTCTTTGTTTGTTTATTGAACTAGGACTTTTAGTATGATGACTAATCAGTGGTCAGAATGAGAATATTTGACTTGTTCTCAATGTCAACATAATAAATCCTTAACAAATATTTCTTGCTTTTCTCCTAAATGAGATCCATTTGGAACAGTCTGAAATTCTCAGTAAAACCTAGAATGATCCCTTCTGCTAGTGGTGGTATAGGAGTGTTTCTTGAACATTTGACACAGATATTGGTTATTTCCACAACAAAAAGGCATATAAGGAATTAGAAAAAAAATTTAAAAGCTCCATGCTAAGTCCACCAATATGTGACATACTGAAAGGAACAATTAAAGAATGAAAATATACCCTATGCCCTTAGTGAACTTCTTGGGGAAAAATAAATAAGCCAACTTTTTTTTTTCCTTGAGTTACTGCTATGAGCAGGAAACTAATCTACATTATGTCCTTTAATCCTCCTAACAACCAATGAAGTGGCCATTATTTCCAACAACAGAAAAAAAGATGGAGGCCTAGACAGGTCTGAATAAGTTGCCTAAGGTAAGTGCTAAGTGCTGAGTGGTTTGGCTAGTAATTAACAATTGAATGTTACACTGAAATGTACAATCCATATGTGCTGTAGAAATTCTGAGAAAGAGAAAACGGTTTGGATTAAGTGGTCAGAGCTGTCATAGAAAAGTTATGGCTTGAACTGAGTATCATTAAGGTAAAGGATTTAAGTTTTGATAAAATAAATCAGAACTGCAGAATGGAAGAGCCATTATGAGCCCAGCAATGAAGCTGGAGTGATCATGGCCTCTATGTGCCAGTATCTTAGGGTGCTTGGCAGAATAGTGGGAGAGAAGGCTGGAGAGGAGGCTTAGCCAAAGAAAAGAAGTTTGATGAAAATACTTTTTCTCACAAGACCTTATGGGATTTACTTCACCTAGCTTTTTGTCCCCAGCTACTTTTGCCTCCTTCCACATGATGCATACATTAGCTACACTCAATTGATATTTATTGAATACCTATTGTGTGTAAAGTACAGTGTAAGAAGCTGGCTTTGTCACACTGTTTTGGTCATGTGGGGGTTCATGCTTTTATTTAAAGTTACATTTTTCCTTAACATGAAAAAAATCAAATGTATGCATGCACATAATCAAATAGACCTGTAAAAGTTTGTTACTACAAAGCATGCCCTTCCATCTGTCTCCTCAAAAACAACTTTTCATTATTTTTGCAGATTATATTATCCCCCGCCACTAAATAATCTTCTTGATTAAAAAAACCCTCCTGGCCGGGCGCGGTGGCTCAAGCCTGTAATTCCAGCACTTTGGGAGGCCAAGACGGGCAGATCACGAGGTCAGTAGATTGAGACCATCCTGGCTAATGTGCTGAAACCCCGTCTCTACTAAAAATACAAAAAAATTAGCTGGGTGTGGTGGCGGGCGGCTGTAGTCCCAGCTACTGGGGAGGCTGAGGCAGGAGAATGGCGTGAACCAGGAGATGGAGCTTGCAGTGAGCTGAGATCAAGCCACTGCACTCCAGCCTGGGCGACAGAGTGAGACTCCGTCTCAAAAAAGAAAAGAAAAACAAACAAACAAACAACAAAAAACCCTCCTGAGTGAAAATTTGTATCCTTTAACCAACATCTCCCCATCCCCAAACTAAGATCCCCCAGCACAGCTCCGGGCCCTGGTAACACACTTCTATTCTCCACTTCCATGAGTTCTGCTTTTTCGGATTCCACATGTAAGTGAAACCACGTGGTATTTGTTGGTCAGTGCCTTATTTCACTTAACATAATGTCCTCTAGGTTTATCCATGTAGTCACAAATCACAGGATTTCCTTCTCTTTTTCAAGGCTGAATGGTATTCCACTGTGTATATATACCACATTTTTTTTTATACATTCATCCACTGATGGACACTTAGGTTGATTCCACATTTGGTTACTGTGAATAATGCTGTGATGAACTTGGGATCACAGGTAATTCTTCAACATACTCATTTCATTTCCTTTGGACACATATCCAGTAGTGGGATTGCTAGATGATATAATAATTCTATTTTTAATTTTTTTGAGGAACCTCCATACTGTTTTCCTTAATTGCTGCACTAATTTATATTCCTGCCAACAGTGTGCAAAGGTTTCCTGATCTCTCAGCACTTATTTTTTTAGACAGTCTTCGTCTGGTATCTAGGCAGGAGTGCAGTGGTGCAGTCATAGCTCACTGCAGCCTCAAACTCCCAGGCTCAAAGGATCCTCCCACTTCAGCCCCCCAAGTAGCTGGGAGTGCAGGCATGCCCACCACACCCAGTTAATTTTTATTTTTTTTTAAATAGAGACAGGGTCTTGCTGTTTGCTCAGGCTGGTCTCGAATTCCTAGCCTCAAGCAATCCTCCCACCTCAGCCCCACAAAGTGCTGGGATTACAGGCATGTGCCACCACAGACAGCCTCTTTCATCTTTTTGATAATAACAGTGTGAGGTGATATCTCATTGTAGTTTTAATTTGCATTTTCCTGATTAGTGACATTGAGTATTTTTTCATGTATCTGTTGGCAATTTTTTTTTTTTTTTTTTTTTTTAAGACGGAGTCTTGCTCTGTTGCCAGGCTGGAGTGCAGTGGCACAATCTTGGCTTACTGTAACCTCTGCCTCCCAGGTTCAGGCGATCCTCCTGCCTCAGCCTTCCGAGTAGCTGGGACTTCCGAGTGTGCCCAGCATGCCCAGCTAATTTTTTTGTAGTTTTAGTAGATACGGGGTTTCACCATGTTGGCCAGGATGGTCTCAATCTCTTAACCTTGTGATCCACTCGCCTTGGCCTCCCAAAGCGCTGGGATTACAGGCGTGAGCCACAGCACCTGGCCCTGTTGGCCATCTGTATGTCTTCTTTTGAGAAATGTCTATTCAGGTCCTTTGCTTTATCTTTTGGAGACGGGGTCTTCATGCTCTGTTGCCCAGGCTTCAGTTGCAGTGTCACAATCACAGCTCACTGAACCTCAAACTCCTGGGCTCAAGTGATTCTCCTGCCTCAGACCCCTGGGTAGCTAGGACTGCATGCACCACCACACCCAACTCATTAAAAAATTTTCTGTAGAGATGGGGTCTCGCTATGTTGCCCAGGCTGGTCTCAACAGATCCTTCTGCCTTGGCCTCCCAAAGTGTTGTGATTACATGTGTGGGCCACCCAACCTGGCCTTGCCATTTTAAAATTGGGATGTTTCCTTGCCATGAGTATACTTCACTATGTATTTTGGATGTTAACCCCTTTTGAGATGTATGGTTTGCAAATATTTTCTCCCACTCTGTTGACTGTTTCCTTTGCTGTGCAGATTTTTAGATTGATGTAATCCTTTGATTTTCAATTTTTACGTATTATCCACTGATTTCCTACTGTGGAAAATGAGAATTTGATAACTTTTCTAACCTTCACAATACCATGTCCTCTCCCAATATAGTTGTTGTCATTTTGATTAGATGAATATTTTGTTAACATTATTATGCCATTCAACCACTGGTCATAATTTTTCTTTTCTGCCCGTTTTGCTTTCCTGGAGTTAACTGCCAGTTTTTTGTTTGGTTTGGTTAGTTTTTCTTCAGAATCACTGTCATCTCTGATTGAACCCTGGAGCCTTGAAAATCATCTCCTCCACCCACCTTCTGATTCCAGCCAGTATCAGTGGACAGTTCCGTGGGAACTGAAGACCCCTTTCTTCTCTTTCAGCTTTCTGTCTCACGGTCTTCTTTGACACGGAGCCTACTATGCCCATGTGCAAACTGCCCCATGTGCAAGGAGATAATGCCCCTGGCAGCAACTTGATGAGTGAAAAATGACAGTGTATAGATAAATGCTCCAGCCACTTGTCTTTCAGGAGGCAATTCGGGGAGCTATCACATAGCTTGAGGACCTGGTGGAATCAAGTTCCCACTGTTTACACAGAAATGACCTCAAAAATACACCATGTTTTATATTGACTTTTCCCCTTTCTCCTTCGCAGTACCACAAGTCCCTCACTCCTAGTTTCTGGGATCTCTAAAATAAACTAACCCATGTTCTTGACTCAGGCTTTGTTTCAGGAGGAACCTCTTACTTTGCTGGTTGCCTCACTCTTAAGATCTAAGATATGGCCGGGCGCGGTGGCTCAAGCCTGTAATCCCAGCACTTTGGGAGGCCGAGACGGGCGGATCACGAGGTCAGGAGATCGAGACCATCCTGGCTAACACGGTGAAACCCCATCTCTACTAAAAAATACATAAAAAAAAAAAAAAAAAAAAAAACTAGCCGGGCGAGGTGGCGGTCGCCTGTAGTCCCAGCTACTCGGGAGGCTGAGGCAGGAGAATGGCGTAAACCCGGGAGGCGGAGCTTGCAGTGAGCTGAGATCCGCCCACTGCAGTCCAGCCTGGGCGACAGAGTGAGACTCCGTCTCAAAAAAAAAAAAAAAAGATCTAAGATACATCGGATATTTTATTAATCTTTCTAAAAACGTGTCACCAGGATCTTCTGATGTGCTTCAATGTACTCTCTGAGCCTGGTGTAGTGGTCATCTTTGGATATTCCATCCTCGGATATTCCATCCTCATCATCTGGGGATTTCTTTCATTTCTCTCCTGTTCTAAATCCCATTTCCTGCATCCTGTGTCATTTTGTTTGGTTTATACCTTTTTATGAAGCACATCCTTTAGTAGCTTCCTGAGAAAAGATATATAGGAGGAACTTTTTTTATACTCTTCATTTGACCTTTATGTTACATTTAGTCAGATACAGAATGTTAGGTTGGACATTTCTTTCAGAAGTTTGAAGGCACTGCTTCTGTTGAAATTTAAAGCTATTCGGGGCTGGATGCAGTGGCTCACACGTGCAATCCCAGCACTTTGGGAGACTGAGGTGGGCGGACTGCTTCAGCTCAGGAGTTTAAGACCAGCCTGGGCAACATGGTGAAACTCTGTCTCTATAACAAATACAAAAAAATTTAGCTGGGCATGGTGGTGGGCGCGTGTAGTCCCAGCTACTCGGGAGGTTGAGACAGGAGGATGGCTTGAGCCTGGGAGGTGGAGGTTGCAGTGAGTCGAGACTGTGCCACTGCACTCCAGCTTGGGTGACAGAGCAAGACCCTGCCTCAAAAAATAAAAATAAAGGTCTCCTGAGTCTTATTCCTTGGTATCTGACCTGACTTTTTCCTCTGGAAATGCAGATCTTCTTTTTGACTCCAGTGTCCTTGAAAGTTCATAATGATGTGCTTTGGTAAAGGTCTTTTTCATCCACTGTGTTCTTTCAATCTAGAATCTTGATATTCTTTAATACTGAAAAAATTATCGAAACACTCCAATGATTTCTTTTTGGAACTCTGGAAGATTACATATTAGGCCTCCTGGGCTGTCAATTTTCTTAACTTTTTTCTTTGACATTTCCAAATTTTTTTTTGAGAAATTTTAACTTTATATTCTAAGTCTTCTAATTGAATTATTCAGCTATGCTATCATATTATTTTCTAAGAGCTCTTTTTGTTTTTTTGAAACCCAACTTTTTAAAAGTCCCCTGCCCTTGACTCATGGTTGCAACATCCTTCTGAAAATACTTTTTCTTTTGATGTTCTCCTTACCCTTCATAGTCTGTTTCCTCTAAGTGTTTTCCCTAGACTGTTTTTTCTCTTTCATTTATTTGTAATCCTTGGTTGTTTGCTCATTTTTAAGAGCACAGGACTAAAAGACTAACTGCAAGGTCTAGACACAATGCGTGGGCTAGTGGGCATGCGAACTATGATTTTCACTGCAGTGTTATGTAGCTGGGCAGTTTAGCTGGGACATGGCTGACATCAAGATCCTAATTAGGCCTTTTCACTTGCATTGGTCAGATTTCACAGAGAAGACTCTTCAGTATTCCGTCGTGGAATGGTAAAGATCTGGCTGCCAGGATTCAGTAAGAAAAGGAGGATGCTGGCCTTCTTATCCATCATGTAAATGTCCTCTGTTTTGAGGATGGTCCCTCTGTCATCTACCATATCCAGTATTCTTAACATATCCAAAATAAACAGCCACACACTTAGTGAAATCATATGTGCATTTTTAAAGAATAAATACCTTTATATTTCATTTGTATAACATTTTATTGTTTGCATATTGCATAGTGAAAAGAACAGAGTCAGAAGACTCATGGTCAGGCTCAACTGCTAACTTGCTGTGTAAATTGGGTAGATCTCTTAACCTTGCTAAACTCTTATTTCCTCATCTGAAAAATGGAGATAATACTTATTTTACAGAATTGCTAAATACTGAATGAGATACTTATACTGTTTTCCTCTTAGGTAATTAGTCAAAATAACTCTATAGTTTGCTACTGCTAACCCCTTGTTCATCATCTCAATGCTGTTCTCAATAAATGCATTAAGACAACAGGTACCAATGTAACACTTTAATTTTGAATATTAACAATAGCAAAAGAAAAACAAACTCAAAAATGACCCTACCCTTTATTATTTTTAGAATACTGGCTTTTAAATACTTAATGATACTATCCCATCAGAAATTCAATTCTTTTAAAGATCTTTTTTCTTCTTAAACCTACTCAAAATGAATACCTACGTATGTGAAAAACCCAAGATTACATGTGTAATTACAGTTTCCTCTCTGGCACAGTATAAGTAAAATACATATCATGGGCAGTTAAATACTTCCCCCCTCTACATTAGGGATGATAATATATATGAAGATTAATTCCTTATGCATTATCCCTAATGTAAAGAAAAATCACAGGTATTTTATACTGCTTGTCAAGAATACATACACATGGTAGACACGCCTAGACATACACACCCCTTCTAAGAATATTTCAACTATCATCAATATCTTCTGTATGATCCCTTACAACTATCTGTAGTTGAAAACATAAAACTCCCTTTTAAGGTAATTCTGTATGAAACTGTATTATAAAGTACTTTTGTTAAGCAAAATTGCATGTGTGTGTTGAACCCCAAACACTCAAAGTACTTTACTACTCTTAAAAGATAAACAAAATTCTTACACATTATAAAAAAACTTAAGCTGCTCTGCAACCCTCCTTTGCCAAAAGTTAGATACATTACACCACTCCAGCAAGAGATTAATAAATAAGGATTAAATATTCTATTTTACAAAAACATACAGAATGGCCAATATAAAAGTGAAAACCTTGCTTGAGAATTTATCAAATTATGTTCATTAAGAAGGAATAAGACATGGTATAAAATGATCACTAAATTTATCTCTCAAGATAATCATGAGTTATCTAAAAATACCATGACACCCTTGTTACAAACATTATTGTGTTTTTTTTTTTAAAAAAAGACTGTGTTTCCTGGAACTAGAGGACTATTTGTCTCTTAGCTTTTATTAAGCAAACTTGATATAACCACCACACAGTGGCAAGAGATAGACTAGCTGTTTCCAGCTGCAGAAAATATTGAATTCTACCCTAAAGTACAGATCATTTGCAATATAACCCATAACAGTTAAAGCAAATCATAGTGCAGTTTGTATTGAGTTTCCTTATTTTTCCTTTCAGTGGAGTATATTCATTTTCCTGTCATTTGAGATCAGTTTCTGTTGCTTAGTAACTATTTTCATGTCCAGCCAAGATGTAGAGATTGCTGTGTGCAGTAGGATTTTCTGTTGGCCTACTTTCCAAAACGACAACCCTGTAATTAAACCAAAACAAAGGGCTTGTTTAAGAGTAACTACAGATTTCATACATCAAATACTAACATCAAACTAGGAAAGAATATCATTGTTCACATTTCAGTAAGATTACATAAGGATCACAGATGCACAATCAAATTCGGCTTTACATTTTACAGCTTTAAAACACAATAAGAATTGATTAATATAAAATACTGAAGACATTTTGGGGTAGTCTCATTATCTTATTCCAACTAAAATATCTGGGCTGGGTGTGGTGGCTCACACTTGTAATCCCAGGACTTCGAGAGGCTGAGGCAGGGGGATCGCTTGAGCCCAGGAGTTTGAGACCAGCCTGAGCAAGATGGCAAGACCCCATCTCTACAAAAAAATAAAATAATTAGCTGAGTGTGGAAGCCTGTGCCTGTAGTCCCAGCTACTCAGGACACTGAGGCAGGAGGATCCCTGGAGCTGAGGAGTTTGAGGATGCAGTAAACTGTGATTGTGCCACTGCGCCTCAGCCTGGGTGGAGAGAGTGAGACCCCTTCTCAAACAAAAAACAACAACAAAATCTGCTTACTCATTTATGCCAACAAAAGGTATAATATAATAATTTAGGAATTTACACTAACAGGAAGAGGATGGAAGAAGAGCCAAGAGAATAAAATAGGACTCTTAAGAGACACTCGTCCAAACTGTTCTTCAAGATATTTGAAATAGCTTTTTAAAAAAATTATGAAATGGGGCCCCTCTCCCTAGTTGCGGAACAAAAGTGGAGAAAGAGTCCAATCAAAGGACTGATAGGAAAAAAAAAAATCAAGTGCTATTCCAAACATTTTAATTGTGGGGAAGAGAGTTTGAGAACAAAATAAAAAATAATATACCTACACAGAGAAAAAAGTTTCTAGAGGAGGAATGGGAGAAAAAATTTGCACATAACACTTATTTTTCTAGTGTATGAATTTTCTATAATTAGCATGTTATTACTTTAATAATGAAAACATTTTTTAAAAAGTCATAGATACTTTATATTAGGCATTACAGAAAAGTAGAAAGGGAAAATATAATTACCTATAATCCAACTGCCCAGAGTTAACCGCTATTAAAATTTTGACATGCTTAGTTTTTTTTCCTAGACACAAATATCTATACTTAAGCAACAAAAAATTTTTATTTTTATTATTTTTATTTTTAGATGGAGTTTCACTCTTGTTGCCCAGACTGGAGTGCAACGGCGTGATCTCAGCTCACTGCAACCTCTACATCCTGGGTTCAAGCGATCCTCCTGCCTCAGCCTCCCGAGTAGTTGGAATTACAGGCATGCACCACCAACACCGGCTAATTTTTTTGTATTTTTAGCAGCGATGGGTTTCTCCATGTTGGTCAGGCTGGTCTCGAACTCCTGACCTCAGGTGATCTACCTGCCTCAGCCTCCCAAAGTGCTGGGATTACAGGCATGAGCCACTGTGCCCAGCAACAAAATAAATTTTTAACCACTTTTAAAGATAAAACAAAAACTCTGTTTAGATATATATCTTAAAATCAAGGAGATGCCCATGTAAGAAGACAAGCAGAGCAAGGCAATAGTCTGAAGGAAAGTTTTTTGGAGCAAATAGTGATAGAGTGGACAGAGAATATGAACGGGGAAGGGAAAAGTGATAGAGAAAGCTCTGGGTGGAGAAGGTAGAAGGAAACAAGGAACCGAGAGAAACGGCCTCTGATGCCAACCCTCTACCAAGCTGAATTCTCTCATGCTTGGTCTCATTAAAGGATTATCTACACCAGGATCAATGGATGATCCACAATTTTTTTTTTTTTTTTTTTTTTGAGACAGTCTTGCTCTGCCTCCCAGGCTGAAGTGCAGTGGTGTGATCTTGGCTCACTGCAACTTCCGCCTCCTGGGTTCAAGCAATTCTGCTTCAACCTTCCGAGTAGCTGGGATTACAGGTACACGCCACCACACCTGGCTACTTTTTGTATTTTTAGTAGAGACAGGTGATCCACCTGCTTTGGCCTCCCAAAGTGGTGGAATTACAGGCGTGAGCCACTGCGCTCAGCCCACAATTCTTTTCTCAGCCCTTCCTGGAAAAGCAAAGAGCCTCTCATTCTAGTTCTAGAGTCATTTACCAGATGATTCTCAAATTCTCTTTTTGTTGGCTGGACTACTCACTAAGTTGCCATGCTTTGTGGGCTTACCTTTTCTATTCACTGAGGGTAGTCATCATTTTTTGAAAAATTTCTGTTCTCCTATAAAACTCTCTTCACAATTTTTTTGGAGTTATGACTCCATTTCCCTTTCCTTCCTCAAGTATCTAAAACTGAAGCAATGTGAACCTGAAGACCAGAGGTTCCCAATCCTAGTCTCAGGACTAATGCATACCACTATAGCCAATTTTGCTTTAGTAACAACTTTTGGTGGGAAAAGAGGAAGGAATGGGTATTTTATTAGTTATAGAAGTAGGCAGCTGGGCGACGGAGTGAAACCGTCTTAAAAAAAAAAAGAAAAAAAAGAAGTAGGCAGTAGATTTTGGATATCAAAAGCTACAGCTCCTACCTTTTTTTCATAAGATGACAGTTTTGCAACTTGTCTTTTATTTGGGGTATAAAGAGACCACATAATTCTTTTTAACTTAGATTAACTTTAGAAACTGAATCAGGCATTTTCCAATATAAAAGCAAGTATCATCAGGAGGTACATATTCCTAATAGTTGACGGAAGGTAGCACACCAGGAAGAAATGAAAACATACGGGCCCAGAATAGCTCTCATGGTACTAGGGACATCAACATTTATACCAACACATTTTGTCTCAGCTGAATATAACTGTCTCTAGAATGACAATCCTCATGCTGACAAAAGATTGCTGGTCAACTTATTAAAATATTACTAATTCTCTCAGTAAAGACACAGAGAAATTTATCTAAGTCAATGAGCTTCTAAGAGTTTTGTTTGAAACAATTACAGACTGACAGTATAATTAAGAGTATGATCTTTGAACCTCTTTGGTAATTAAATTAATACAACCAAACTATTACCTGTCTGATCCTAATAAGCGGAAAACTCTTGTTTCATCTGAAATCTCCTGGGTAACCTAGGAAAGAAAAATACCTATCAGTAACATCTTACTCTTCAAATTGCCTTAATAATAATTTAAAATTAATTTAGACAGAGCAATTATTAACACAATAAATACTTTTTGGTAGACTTAAATCCTCAAATAAAAGAAATTTCAGTAAGTTTTTTTGACTGCATATTATCAGAAATGAACCCACATTTATGGAACATCTAGTATGGGTCAGGCACTCTACTTAGAAGAACTCTGTGATATGCATTATAATTCTCATATCATTGAAGAAGAAACTAAGACTCCAAGAGGTTAAATAAGTTGTTCAAGGTCATATAATGGGTAGACTCAAGACTTGAATACAGGTATTGTTGGACTGCAGAGCTCCTTTGGGGGCCAAGGCTTGAGGTCAGGATTTGAGACCAGTCTGGGCAACACAGTGAGACCCTGTCTCTACAAAAATATTTAAAAATTTTAGCTGGGCATAGTGGTGCATGCCTGTAGTCCTAGCTGCTCAGGAGGCTGAAGTAGGAGGATCGCTTGAGCTCAGGAGTTCAAGGATACAGTGAACTATGATTGCATCATGGCATTCCAGCTTGGGCAACAGAGCAAGACCCTCTATAGTCTGTTTTCTGCAAAGCTGCAGAGCGTGCTCAGCCATGTGCAGGTGCTATCCCA